TGGAACAGTGCAGGGAACAGAGACGGCACTCAGCACACATTTGATGTGTGAACGAATGACTATGTGTGGGGAAACCTTTGAATCTCAGGGCTCTTCCCCCTCCACTCTCTCTCTATCCCCACCTTGGCAGATGGAGACATGGCTCCAGGGTGGGCATGGGGGGTCGGGGTGAGGATCTACCCAGGGCCAGCTGTATGGCCCCTACCCCACCCCGGCCGGGACTGCCTGGCACCGAGTGGGCCCTGCTGTCAGGACGCTCTAGGTGAGGTGCGGCCTCAGCTGCTGGGCATGCAGGAACAGGGGTGGGTCCCGGGCACAAGTCCAGGCATTGGCACTCCCCTCTGCTGCTGGGCCCTATAGCATGCTGGCAGCTCGACCGCCTCAGCACCGCCCTGGACCCATCCCCAGGCTGGGAAGAAACTCCCTCTGGGAACCCCTTGGGCTCATGGCCACCCCGGCTCTGCCCACACCGGTGGACCTCTGCAGACACCCCCTTGAGGACGGTGCCCACACCGCCCACACCGTGGCTCTGCCCAAGCGCCTTTCACATTCCCAGTCTCTTAAGTGTGGATGGACGTGGGACCTTTGCATCCCAGTGGTCGGGCCAACACTCCGGAGCTGAGGTAGCCCCTGACCCACACAGGAGCCCTTTCTTTGAGGGTCCAGAGCACCCCGGGCTGAGCGCCTCACTGACAGCCTTGCTCTGCCCGCTCTCCCTCAGAAGCAAACACAAGTGCACCCCCTGCCCCCTCCTCTCTCTCTGTAGAGTGGGCTCCGGAGCCCCTGTAAGCTCAGCCAGGTGGGGCCTTAGGTGCAGTGGGGTTTGGGGAGATGGGGGCCAATGGACACCAAAGGACAGAGGAGACACAGGGCAGTGGCCCCACCACCCCTGATGCCAGCAGGGACTCTAAGCCCTCACCCCCTGTCCTGCAGTCCACCTACCAGGCTAGGCCAGACCCTCAGCCAGTGAGAGCACCTGGTGTGCTGCCTCCAGCCCTGCTTGGCCTGAAACCTCCCAGTCCCCAGCCCTGCCCTCCACAAACCTCCAGGGGCCTGATGAGTGCACAGGGTCCAGGGGACAGAGGGGAGGTAAAGCAGCAGGGAGAGCTGATGGGAGGGGGCTGGTGGGGAGGGGGACAGGTGGGGAGGGGGCAGGTGGGGAGGGGGCTGGTGGGGAGGGGGACAGGTGGGGAGGGGGCAGGTGGGGAGGGGGTAGGTGGGGAAGGGCACAGTGGGGAGGGGTGTGGTGGGGAGGGAGCAGGTGGGGAAGGGCACAGTGGGGAGGGGCGTGGTGGGGAGGGAGGAGGTGGGCAGGGGCACAGTGGGGAGGGGCAGGTGGGGAAGGGCACAGTGGGGAGGGTGCAGGTGGGGAGGGGGAAGGTGGGGAGGGGCAGGTGGGGAAGGGCACAGTGGGGAGGGGCAGGTGGGGAGGGGGAAGGTGGGGAAGGGCACAGTGGGGAGGGGCAGGTGGGGAGGGGGAAGGTGGGGAGGGGCAGGTGGGGAAGGGCACAGTGGGGAGGGGCAGGTGGGGAGGGGGAAGGTGGGGAGGGGCAGGTGGGGAAGGGGCAGGTGGGGAGGCCCTGTGGGGAGGCCCTGTGGGGAGGCCTGGTGGAGGCCCAGGTGGCTCCTCATCGCGCCAGGGTGGGGGTCCCTCCTGGAGGCCGGTGGTGGGGCGGCGGGGATGGCTGGGCCTGAGCGCAGTGGTGCCGGGTCCACAGGAGGGGTTCCGGCGGCCCAATGGCGCCCCCTGCAGGCTGCTGGGGCCCAGAGGCTCAGGCAGAAGCCCCAGGAGTTGGGCTCCCCAGAGCACTGGGGCAGCCAGGGCACACAGGTTCGACCCCTCCGATCCACCGCACAGGCGATGCGCACCCTGCTGCTTGAGTGCGCCTCAAAGAAGGCCCGGGCTCAGGCAGAAGCCCTCCTCCGGCTTCGTCCAGCCCCAGCCCTGTGGGGACAGGGCTTTTCGCCAAAGTGCACCTGCCCCGCAGACCTCCCTGAGAGACAAAGGACATTTGCTCAGCCCAGGAGGGCAGCCTGGAGCCTGGGCTTGAGTGCCGACCCCGGGGGTCCTTCGCAGAAGGTGGAGTGATGGGTTGGAGCAGGGACCTCTGGCACCCACTTGGGCTTGTAGCAACCCTCACTGGCGTGCACCTTGGGGGACCTAGCCTAGAGGGGTCTGGGGTTCAGCTGGGCTGGGGACAGCCCCTGAGCCCATGGGAGGGTGATCTGAGCCTGCCTGGGGGCCGGGTGTACTCACTCTGGCTCGGGTTGGCCAGGGCAGGGGGATGGCCGCAGCGAGCACCGGACCAGGAACACTCAGCTGTGCTCAGCCTGTCCCGGCCTGTCTCCTTCCCCGCCCACCCTCTCTTCCATCCAGCCCCGTGGCCTGCGAGCCCTGGAGAGGGAGCATGGGAGTCAGCTTGGAGGCGTGGCTCCACCGACCCTGTTGAAAGGATCTTGACCAGCCCAGGGAGGTAGCTGTGGACCCCACTCCTAGGGATAGAGGGGCGGGGATGCTTCATAGACCTGGCTTTTCTAAGTGGGGCTGAACCCTGCACTGCCCTTGGGATTCAGATGTTGGCTGCAGGGGCAGCTGGGCAGTGGGTGGGCATCAGGCTGGGCAGCCCTTGGATGGTGGGGTCTCGTCCTGCCTGAGACCAGCCGGCTTGCACCATAGACACGCGTTTCTCCGGGTTCTGGAGGTGCCAGGTCCGGATCGGGGTGCTGGTACGTCAGTGTCTCCAAAGTGCTGTCCCAACCTGCCTCCTTCCCGAAAGGACACGAATCCCAGCAGACCAGGGCCTCATCCTCACATCGTCATCTAACCCTCGCCCCTCCCTTCCGTGGGGCACATTGGGGGTGATTCTGAGCCCTGCCCTGAGCTGCGGGAAGGGCAGAGCCCGCTGAGCGCTGCCTCCAGGACTGTGCATGAAGACTCCCACGGAGGCGACCCCAGGGCAGCTCCTGTTTCCCTGAGCCCTGTCCTGCGGGAGGCCCACAGGGCGACTGCGTGGCCGTGCAGGGGTCCGGGCTGCGGAAGTCCAGGCCACGGCTGCATGCCCAGCTCAGGTCATGTTTACCAGGCAGGCCACTGCCAGGGCCCCCACCCGGCCTCGCAGCCCTGAGTTAACTCAGGCTCCAGGATAAACACCCATTCAGCCACACAAGGCCCCTTTGTCCTGGGAGAGAGGCTCCCAGCCCGGGACGCTGCCTGGTGGCCGGTGTGCTCGGCGCAGCCCCAGGCCCGGCCGGCTGCCCCGACACGTCCAGCCGCCCTGCATGGCCTTCAGGGCAGGCTTCAGCCTTGGCTCAGAGAGGCCCCAGTGGGGGACAGGGCCCTGGGCAGCTGTCGGAGGAGCCAGGAGGCCAGAGCGGCAGGGCTGAGGAAGATCTGGCCGCTGCCTTGTGTCCTGAGACCTTGGCAGAGCAGACCTGACCCTGCAGAGGGAGCTGGGAGCCCTGAGGCCGGACGTGCCTGTGGCAGTGGGGAGGCAGAGGCGGCCGTGTTGCCCAGGAGGCAGCTGGCGAGCTCTGGAGGCTCCAGGACCCTGCTGCTCCCCGGTATCCTCAGCCCTGAGCAGGAGAGGGAGCCTCACACCCTGTGCTTGGCCTACGTCCCGCAGCCAGTGGTCACTGGCCTGTGCCTCAGTGTCTTGTCTGTGCAGTGGCCGTGGCAGGCCCTCAGAGGTCCTCAGCCAGGGGCTGCCACCTATCATCACCCAGGCTCAGGGCTGAGATTGGGGGCGGGGGTCCCTTCTTGGGGGGAGGGGTGCGATGGTCCCAGGAGGCTATCAGGAGGTGCTGCAGGAGCATGGGTGGGCCGTGGCAGGGGAGAGGAGCCCAGAGCCCCCTGAGGCCCATCCAGTCTGTGCCCCAGCCACGCCTGGCCATGGGTGCTGTGGCCATCCGTCCTGTGCCAGGGTCCCTCCTCCAAATATGCAAAGAACAGACTCACCTCCCCACCTGTGGGGACACCCCAGTGGCCACCCAGGCTGAAGCCCTGCCTGCTCCTCAGCCTCTCTGGCGGTCCACGTGGCTTCCCAGCACCCCAGCCCCACCCCTCCAGGGTGTCACTCACCTGGCCCGGTCCCTGCATGGTCCGTGGTGGCAGCGACCCCTGGCGGTGGCTGGGCTTGCTGTTGTGCTCACCTGAGGGCCAGTCCTGGGCTGCTGTTCACCAGTCCCACGGGGCAGCTTACAGAGCCTCGGGAACAGGTCCTGGGACTGTGACCCCCAGGCTCAGCCACTCCTGGGGGCACATGACTGCAGCCGGGTGTAGGCCCGAGTCCCTGTGTGTGGGGATCCCCTCTCCACTGACGGGAGAAAATGGCTTTTCTGACAGCAGCAGCACCAGCCCCCTTACAGCGTTACCCTCAGTCCCGCCCAGCCCTAGGAGGCCCTGGCCCTCTGGTTCATGCTGGGGTCCTAGGTGCCATGGCTGAACCCGGCAGCCAGCATCTCTCAGCTCTGTGCCCAGCGTTCCTGGGATGCCCCAGCTAGGTGGAGACTCTGCCAGGGCTCCTGGAAGTGGCCTGAGATCCAGTGCACCTGCCCACATGTGAGACCTGCGGGACGGGGCTGGGGGCTGGGGATGAAACCCTGCCATCTGGAGACAGGCCTTCCTCAGGGAAGCCGGGTTTGCTCTGAAGCCTCCACGTTCCCGAGGCTGATGGGAGCTGAGCAGCCTCACTGCAGGGGCCTCCATCCGCCCCCACCCCCACCCCCAGGTAAGGGTCAGTTAGCTGGGGCTGAGGCTCTCCAGGTTGCACCAGGATCAGCACCATCACACACGCCTGGCTGTTCACGGTTTTTGTTCTACATGAAAACTCGAGTCCATCTGACTGATGTGTGTACTTGAGGTCAGAACCGTGTGGCTGACCCAAGGTGGCGAGGGTAGACTGGGCAGGCCTGAGCCCCCTCCAGTGACTGGCTGTCCCTGCGGGTTGGCCCAGCCTCAGGCCAGAGCAGAGAAATCTTTGCTTCACTGAGACCAGAGCAGCTTCAGAGTTTACATTGAAAGGAAACTTTATTTAGTCATCTTTTCAAAGCAATCTAGTTTTAAGACAGAAAAAAGAAAATGACACCTAGAAGAATTGGACAATACAGCTGGACAGACGCACACAGGAGGAGGGGCTGCAGGTCTGGGTCAGATCTTCGCCATCTTGGAGATGAGGTCGTCACAGATCCTGGTCAGTTCCTCATTCTCTTTAGTCTGGAGGAGGAAGATGAGTTTTGGAGTGAGCAGCAGGCCCAGGGGCCTTCCAAAAGCTGCTGCCACAGGGCCCCTGGGCCCACCTTCTCCTCCACGGTCCTCTCCAGCGACTGGATCCGCATCTGCTCCTTCCTCAGGCTGGCCTGGAGGGCCAGTGCTTCCGCCTGGGCCTTGCTCCGGACCTGGGCGATCTCCTCGTTTGCCCTGGAGGGGCAGGGGCAGGGGCAGGGCAGAAGCTGAGCTGGGGCCCAGGTGCCCAGGTGCCCAGACTCTCCCTCTGGGGGCCCTCGCTCAGCACTCACAGCTGCAGCTTCTCCTCGGCATGGGCCTTCAGGGCCTGGTACCTCTGGCCTGCCTGGGTGATCCTCGCCAGGTAATCCTCCACACACTTCTTGAGTGACTCTTCATTCTAGGAAGGGGCAGGCATTAGCTGTGGGCACACGATCTGCCAGCACCCAGGCTCGGCGCCCCACCTGTGGGGCCTGGGGGTCATCAGTCATGACGAAGCACCTCCAGTTGTCCTTTTGGAAAAAATCCCCTCTACACAGGTCCCCAGCTCACCCCCTCTGGAGTTTCAGAGACGCCAGGCCTAACCCTGGTACCCTCACAGCTGCACCCGGGACCACTGACCACCCAGCCTGTCTCCCTCTAGGGCTGAACCCTGTGCTTTGGGGGCAGGCAGGGGAGACCGACTGGAGCCACATGGTCCCCAGACACATCCGCTCCCCAGAGCCCTGGGGTTCCTCACCCCCAAGTGGCCTCTGCTCGCTCGTCCCACCTGCCCTCTTCCTTCTGTGACCTCACAGCCCAGCCTCCATCCTCTGTTGCAGCCCTATCTCCCGAGAGCACCCTCAGCACTGTGGCCTCTCCCCGGGCCCAGACCTAGTACACAGCCCACGACATCCTGTGGAGGCCATGCCTCCCCTAAACCCACAGCCCCGTGCATCTCTGCAGTGGAAAGTTCCCAATGGCATCTCTCTAGGAGGTGGCGACCAGAAGCTCTTGGGTGTCCGCAGGTCAAGCATCCCACCACGGCACGGCCTCTCCCTCTGGCTCCCAACTTAACCACTGCTTCCCTCCTCCGACCCATGCCCTCTGAATTGCTCACTGTGTACCTGTTAGGAATTTCCATTTGTTTTTTTTTTTTTTTGAGATGGAGTCACACTCTGTCACCCAGGCTGGAGTGAAGTGGCACAATCTTGGGTCACTGCAACGTCCACCTCCTGGGTGCAAGCGATTCTCCTGCCTCAGCCTCGGTGTGGCTGGGACTACAGGCCTGCGCCACCATGCCCGGCTAATTTATTGGAGACAGAGTTTGCTCTGTTGCCCAGGCTGGAGTGCAATGGCATGAACTTGGCTCACTGCAACCTCTGCCTCTTGGGTCCAAGCGATTCTCCCGTCTCAGCCTCTTGAGTAGCTGGGATTACATGTGCACGCCATGCCTGGCTGATGTTTGCATTTTCAGTAGAGGTGGGATTTCACCATATTGGCAAGGCTGCTCTGAAACTCTTGACCTCAGGTGATTCACCTGCCTCAGCCTCCCGAAGTGCTGGGATTACAGGTGCGAGCCACCGTGCCTGGCCTTTTGTCTTTTTAGTAGAGACAGGGATTTTCTGTATTGGCCAGGCTAGTCTTGAACTCCTGGCTTCATGCAACCTGCCCATCTTGTCCTCCCAAAGTGGATTCTTTTCTAGTTTCCAGGTCTCTACTGAGGTAATACTTTTTGTTTTGTTTTTTTTTTTTGAGACGGAGTTTCGCTCTTGTTACCCAGGCTGGAGTGCAATGGCGTGATCTCGGCTCACCACAACCTCCACCTCCTGGGTTCAGGCAATTCTCCTGCCTCAGCCTCCTGAGTAGCTGGGATTACAGGCACGCGCCACCATGCCCAGTTGATTTTTTTGTATTTTTAGTAGAGACGGGGTTTCACCACGTTGACCAGGATGGTCTCGATCTCTTGACCTCGTGATCCACCCGCCTCGGCCTCCCAAAGTGCTGGGATTACAGGCTTGAGCCACCACGCCCGGCCCTTTTTTTTTTAAAAATATAAAAATATGGAACGCTTCACGAATTTGCATGTCATCCTTGCGCAGGGGCCATGCTGGTCTTCTCTGCATCATTCCGATTTTCTTGTACGTGCTGCCAAAGCGAGCACGGCAATACTGTTTGGAACACAGAAGACAATGACCTTCAAGTTTGAGTCTGCAGCGGGTCCTCCATGATGGGGCTGGATGTACAAAGAAGCCTCCATGAGAAAGTGGGAAGGTGGCTGGTGGGAACGGAGGCGCAGGCCTGCCCCGGCGAGAGGCGAGGCCAGGACAGCAGCTCGGACCACAGCCCAAGCGGAGGGAAGGCCAGCAAAGTTGCTGCATCCTCAAGCCAGCGGCGCCACGTGAGGGGTCCCGCCGTTGCGGTGGGCATTCTGCTGCTGCCAGCTCCAGCGGCTGGGAATCCCGTGGGTCTAAACATTTTTTTTTTTTTTTTAATTTTAGAGATGGGGGTCTGGGTCTATTGTCCAGGCTGGAGTGAAGGGATACAATACAGCTCACTGCAGCCTCGACCTCCTGGGCTCAAGTGGTCCTCCCATCTCAGCCTCCTGAGTCGCTGGGACCACAGGCATGCATCGCCATGCCTCACCCTAATAACTGGTTCTGATTTTCAATCATGTTTCCTGTTTCTTTCATACTTAGTTATTCTGTGCCAGACACTAATTTAAAACTCTGTAGCAGCAATTGAAGGTGGAAGATACGGACTTCTGTAGATTCTTCAGGCTTCTTCTCTTAGGCAGCTGTGCCCTGGCCACTGATGCCTACCTGACATCAGGACTGAGAGGTGTGGCTCCTGTTCTGAGTCCGACTCCCAGGCCCCCATCTTGCATCCCCAACCCCTTGCAGCCCGTGTCAGCCCCTCTTCCAGGTGTGCCCACAGGCCCAGCTCCTGGACAGCAGGCGGTGAGCACCTCCGTTCCAACTCTGCTGCTGCGGGCAGAAGCGTCTGGTGGCCTCACAGCCCCTCCCAGGTCTGCTCTGGGCAGATGGTGGCCCGGACATCCCTCCTTCCAGCAAGCCTGCGGGCTTTGTTCAGCACAGAAGGCAGAGGGGGTTCGGGCCTGTGGCCGGGACACTAGGGCAGCCTGGCACAGCCGTGCCCACCTTTTTGCGGGCCTCCTGCCTTGGATCCTACATACCCCAGGTCGCACTCTAACAGCCCAGGCTTGACCCTGTTTCCGAGCCGCCCCATGCCCTGGTGCACCCATGCAGGCTCGAATCTCACAGGCACTGGGTCAGAGCCAAGTCACCCTTCACACGGCGGCAGGAGCTCAGACGGCCTCCCGCAACCCTCCGTGCTTCGCAAACCAGCTGTGCTGTGACTCCTGCACCTGTCTCTTCACAAGTCGCCCAGGCCCGAGTGGCAAGGGGAGGCTTGGCCAAGGACGGAGGTGCAAAGGCATCAGCTGGCAGCCATGCTGGCCAGGCCCGTGAGCCTGCCAGCCTCCGGGGGAGGACACTGGGTGGTGGGGACTTACCTTGCGGTAGCCCTCAATCACCTCCTTCTGTTTCTCAAAGCGTTTGAAGAGGTCAGAGAAGGACTTTTCCATGGAGTTCAGATCTGCAGTCAGCTGGTCTTTTTCTTTTAGAACTTTCTGGATGTCAGCTTTGGCAAGTTCCTTCTGTTTCTGAACCTCCTCTTGAGAAATGAAAAGCAAATGTTCAGGATGAGGAGGTGACTGAAACGCAGAGTGCCAAAACAGCCCCAGAAATTCAGTGAGGGGCTCCAGTGCCAGGAGAGGACGAGGGAGGAGGGAGGTGGTGTGAGCCTCCAGGAGAGGAGGAGGGAGGTGGGTGTGAGCAGGTATGGGGTGGCATGGGCAGGTTGGCACGGCTTGGGGAGGGCCTCGGCATGATGGCATCTGCCCCCACCCCAGCCCTGCCGCTAGCTCAGCATCTGCACAGCTCCGGGGCTGAGGAGGGCTGGCTCTGTGGATCCACCAGCTGCACTGACTGCCAGCTTCCCCCCAGCTCGCCTCAGTGGTTCCATGGCTGGGCCATGTTGAAGGGCCTCGTGGGTGAGGAAGAGTTGCCTCCGGAGAGTAGGGCCCTAGGCAGTGTGTGGGGCGGGGCCAGACTGAGGTGCAGGCAGCCCCCCGTGTCCTCGGCGGCCCGGCATTTACCCATGACCTGGTATGTGACCTCCTCGAACCTGTCCATGATCATCCTGTGGGAGGAGAGCAGACATGTCCACGGCTTCAGATGCCCCGCAGCCGCAGGCCAGGTGGGGACAGGGCAGGTGAGGCCTCCTTACCCCAGCTCCAGGTTCGTGCTGTGGAGCTCCTCACACCTTCTCCTCAGCTCCTGGTTCTCCTCCTGAGCCGCCTTTACCTGCTCAGGCCACACCTGACTCAGCAGACAGGCGGGCTGGACAGCCCCTCCTAGGACCTCCCCACAGGACGGGGCCAGCCCACCCCGAGGTCCCTGGAGCGATGTCCAGAGCCGCAGTTCCAGCGGGACCCTGGGAGCCCCGCTGAGGCCAAGGCTGCCCGCTCCACATGCGCTAGGTTGCCAGGGTGCCAGGGGGCAGGAGGCGTGGGGCTGCTGACCGTGCTCCTGGGTGGAACTAGCAGGCGCCCAACGGGTGTGTGTCCCTGCGTCCACCCCCCAGGGGTGGGTACCAGGGGTCCTAGTTACACGCAGGGGCCACCTGCCTGCGGAGCCCAGGCCTGCAGAGGGGAGGGCTGGCCACGCTGTGGTTCTCAAGCCTGCTCTGGGGTTATGGCATGGGCTTGGACACCGGGAAGTGGGTGTTGGGGAACCGGGTCAGGACTGTGTCACAGACCCCTGAGATGACACCTGGGGTTGCTGTGACTGACACTGGTCCAGATGTGGGGGCTCGTGCCCAGCCTTGCAGCTGGCGTCTGGAGCCAGCCTGTCCCCACCTCCCCAGGGACTATCTGGCTCACAGTGGTAACCACAGACACCCAGCCCCTCCATGTGCCTACAGCTCTCGTAGGGACAACTTAGACCTGGAGTTAGGACGGGCTGGAGCCTGTCGTGTGTGGGAGGATGGAGGGAGACGGGCAGGGGACTCTCAGATGTGGGCAGGTGGAGATGGAGCTTCCTAAGCTGCCCAGAGATGTGTCTGGACTTGTGGAAGGGCAGCAGGAAGGGGCAACACTCAGGTTTACAGCAGCGAGAGCCACACTCACTGCTGCGAGGTTGCCAGAGGCGAATGCCACGCTTAGGCTGGAGAGCCTTGGGGAGGCAGCCGGTGGGCAGCTGGCTGTGGGGACACTGGGTGGAAGCTTGGAGCCTCAGCGAGCTCAGCAGCAGTGACAGGCCAGGGGCCAGCAGCTCTCTGCAATGCCACCCCGACCAGTGGGGCGAGGATGGCAGGGACAGCTGGTCAGGCCACTGGACCCCACCTGTGCCTGCTGTCGGCCAAGCCCGAGCGGCCTGCAGGTTCTGTGGAGCAGCCACCACCTGTGTCCTTACCGCCGCGTCCAGGTCCTTCTGGCTGTACTGCAGCAGGTCCACTATAGGCCCGGTGGACAGGGGTGGGCCGCCAGGCGCGGGGACACCTGGGGGTGGGTCTGGCACCTGTGGGAGATGGGGATGAACCATGATCCCATTTGACCCTCGCCTCTCGTACCTCTGATCCGGCGTGAGGGAGGGAAGGCCCACGAAGCCCAGGAGCCTCGGACAGTGCGGTGATGGACCCGTGACAGAGCCAAAGCTTCAGACTCCCAGGAATAGAAAATATAGGCCCTTAAAACAATCTGCCTCCTCAGACCACAAGATGGTTCAGGAGGGACTGAAGTTACTTACCGGAGCATCCAGTGCTCCCAAGAAATCCAACTCCACAAGCGTGGCTTCCCGCGGACTTCCTGAGGGAGGCTCCTCCACACCACGCGTGCTGCCGCCAAGCAGAGGAGCCTCGGTCACTCAGGCCCTCCCAGTGTTGCGTAGGACACAGAGGACCACGTGGACAAGCTAACCAGGCTCTTTGCTTTTTAGTTTAAAACCACTCAAGTCAGGATGGGGGTAGGAAACACAGGCCCACATCCAGCAGGCCCGGCCTCTCTGCTGCCCCGAGCCCCCTTTCCTCACGTCCCCATCCCATGAGGCGGACCATCCTTCTGGAGAGCTGCGATGCCTCCTTACCCACTGCAGGCTGAGCGGAGCCGCTGATGCCTCACCTGGGGGCCCTCACAGCTTGGAGGCTCACTTTCTTTTTGTTTGAGATAGGGTCTCACTCTGTTGCCCAGACGGGAGAGCAGTGGCATGATCTCGGCTCACCGCAACCTCCACCTTCCAGGCTCAAGCAATTCTCCTGCCTCAGCCTCCCGAGTAGCTGGGACTACAGGTGCCCATCACCATGCTCAGCTAATTTTTGTATTTTTAGTAGAGATGGGGTTTCACCATGTTGGCCAGGCTGGTCCTGAAATCCTGACCTTGTGACCCACCTGCCTCGGCCTCCCGAAGTGCTGGGATTACAGGTGTGAGCCCCTGCGCCCGGCCACGTTAGGCATCTGTCACACTACCTGGTTCTGCCCTTGTAGCGTGAAAGTTGCCACAATTTTCAAAGGAATGGGCATGGTTCTGTGCCAATAACTTTATTTACACAAACAGGTAGTGGCCAAGTCTGGCCTACAGGTCATAGTTTGCTGACCTCTGTTTTAGAGGAACTACTTTAAAAAAATTTAAGTTGGCCGGGCGCGGTGGCTCAAGCCTGTAATCCCAGCACTTTGGGAGGCCGAGGCGGGTGGATCACGAGGTCGAGAGATCAAGACCATCCTGGTCAACATGGTGAAACCCCGTCTCTACTAAAAATACAAAAAAAAAAAACTACCTGGGCGTGGTGGTGCGTGCCTGTAATCCCAGCTACTCAGGAAGCTGAGGCAGGAGAATTGCCTGAACCCAGGAGGCGGAGGTTGCGGTGAGCCGAGATCGCGCCATTGCACTCCAGCCTGGGCAACAGGAGCGAAACTCCGTCTCAAAAAAAAAATAAATAAATAAAAAATTTAAGTTTAGCTCTTTAATCCACCTAGCATGTGGCTGTAACCAGCAAGGCAGCAGCTCTGACTGTCGCTCCCACTGGGCTGACGACGTGGCCCCTGCCACAGGAGGCTGCCACTCTGGGCTTGCCGCCCTGCCCACTCCGCATGACGCCTCTTTCCTGGTTCAGGTCATCTCCCCCTGGTCTAGAAGCCTCTGCAGATGGCACACCCAGGAACAGCCTCCCGTCCCCCTACACCCAAGACTTCATGCCTGGGGAGGGCTGGCTCGCGTACCTGCTGGTCTCCGTGGCCACCGGCCCTGGTCTTTGAGGACTGTCCTTCAGGAGAGGGTCGAACTTGAGGTACAAGGACTGCTTCCTCAAGGCCGACTCCTTAAACTGGGGACAAGAGGGCAACTGAGCAGGGCAGACTGCCGTCCCTAGCACACACGTCAGGGCTAGGGCCAGGGGGGTCACACACACTCCCACCTCTGGTCACCGCAACCCCGCCCGAGGCCCTGCATTCCCAGCAGCACGGTATCAGAGTTCATCCCAGGCAAGTGCTGGGTGAGGGCCTGGCCACGACCATAGGACACCACTTAGAGATGCAGCAGAAGGGCCAGGGCCCGTGTGCAGCTGGGGGGACATGGGCACCAAGGGACGTTCCGGGGTGAAGAGCTGTCGAGGCTGCCCTCAGTACACCCTGCAGGGGAGGCTTTGCAGAGGTGCCCAGTACCTACCGAGGAAGCTCCAAACTGCTCCAGGTAATCCACCTCCGCCCCTGTGCCTAGAACTGAGAGGGCGCAAGTCATGGCACTGCCACCGCCCCACACCAGGGCCCCAAGGGCTAAGGGCTGGCATCTCCGTCAGGACTGAGCGAGGTAGGACCATGGTTCCTTATCGAATAAAGCAGCATTCCAGGAAAGCAGGGTCTCACCGAGACCCAGGCCGAGGCCCTCTGCAGCACAGCAGGATTTCCACCTGGGAGGTGTCCATGTTCCAGGCCTGACTGCTCACTGGCAGGTGTGTCTTGGGCGGCGCCCCAGCCCCCACCCACTCCCTGCCGGCAGCACCCCCAGGGATGACAACCAAAACATCTAGGGGAAGGAGGGGGCAAAAGTGCTCTGGTTGAAACAATTATAGTCTTTAAGATTACCCTAGACAAATCTTTAAATTTTTGATAATATAACCTTTGGTTAAAAAAATCTAAGAGTGGGCCAGGCGCAGTGGCTCATGCCTGTAATCCCAGCACTTTGGGAGGCTGAGGCAGGCAGATTACCTGAGGTCGGGAGTTCAAGACCAGCCTGGGCAACGTGGTGAAACCCTGTCTCTATTAAAAATACAAAAATTAGCCGGGCGCGGTGGCTCAAGCCTGTAATCCTAGCACTTTGGGAGGCCGAGGCGGGTGGATCACGAGGTCAAGAGATCGAGACCATCCTGGTCAACATGGTGAAACCCCGTCTCTACTAAAAGTGCAAAAAATTAGCTGGGCGTGGTGGCACGTGCCTGTAATCCCAGCTACTCAGGAAGCTGAGGCAGGAGAATTGCCTGAGCCCAGGAGGAGGAGGTTGCGGTGAGCCGAGATTGCGCCATTGCACTCCAGCCTGGGTAACAAGAGCGAAACTCCGTCTCAAAAAAAAACAAAAAACAAAAAACAAAAATTAGGCTAGGTGTGGTGGCTCACGCCTGTAGCCCCAGCTGCTTGGGAGGCTGAGGCAGGGGAATTGCTTGAACCCGGAAGGCAGATGTTGCAGTGAGCTGAGACTGCACTACTGCACTCCAGCCTGGTGACAGAGCAAGACTCTGTTTTTTTTTTTTTTTTTTTTTTTTTTTGAGACGGAGTTTCGCTCTTGTTACCCAGGCTGGAGTGCAATGGCGTGATCTCGGCTCACCGCAACCTCCGCCTCCTGGGCTCAGGCAATTCTCCTGCCTCAGCCTCCTGAGTAGCTGGGATTACAGGCACGTGCCACCATGCCCAGCTAATTTTTTGTATCTTTAGTAGAGACGGGGTTTCACCATGTTGACCAGGATGGTCTCGATCTCTCGACCTCGTGATCCACCCGCCTCAGCCTCCCAAAGTGCTGGGATTACAGGCTTGAGCCACCGCGCCCGGCTGACTCTGTTTAAAAAAGCAAAACAACAGGCCGGGCGCGGTGGCTCAAGCCTGTAATCCCAGCACTTTGGGAGGCTGAGGTGGGTGGATCACGAGGTCAAGAGATCGAGACCATCCTGGTCAACAAGGTGAAACCCCGTCTCTACTAAATATACAAAAAATTAGCTGGGCGTGGTGGCGCGTGCCTGTAATCCCAGCTACTCAGGAAGCTGAGACAGGAGAATTGCCTGAACCCAGGAAGCGGAGGTTGCGGTGAGCCGAGATCACGCCATTGCACTCCAGCCTGGGTAACAAGAGTGAAACTCCGTATCAAAAAAAAAAAAAAAAAAGCAAAACCACAACAAAATCCCCTAAGGGCAGAGGCTGAGGCGGGCAGATCACTTGAGCCTAGCAGTCCAACAGGGCAAAACCCTGTCTCCACAAAAAAATACAAAAATTAGCCAGGCGAGGTGGTGCACACGCCTGTAATCCCGGCTACTCAGGAGGCCAAGGCAGGAGAATTGCTTGAGTCTGGGAGGTGGAGGCTGCAGTGAGCTGAGATTATGCCACTGCACTCCAGCCTGGGCAACAGAGGGAAAAACCGTTTCAAAAAAAAAAAAAAAAAAAAAAAAAAAAGGAAAAAGAGTGTTGGCGCGGTGGCTCACGCCTGTAATCCCAGCACTTTGGGAGGCTGAGGTGGGTGGATCACCTGAGGTTGGTGGGAGTTCAAGATCAGCCTGACCAACATGGAGAAATCCCATCTCTACTAAAAATACAAAAAATTAGCTGGGTGTGGTGGTACATGCCTGTAATCCCAGCTACTTGGGAGGCTGAGGCAGGAGAATCCCTTGAACCTGGGAGGCGGAGGTCACAGCGACAAGCAGTACCACTGCACTCCAGCCTGGGCAACGGGACAAACTCCGTCTCAAAAAAAAAAAAATTAACTCAAAACTGAATAAAAAACCTGAGAGTTAAAACTATCTTATACATATTAATTTTTCTGGTAGTGGAGGAGTCTTGCTACACTGCCAGGGCTGGTCTTGACTTGGCTTCAAGCAATCCTCCAGTATCAGCCTCTAAAACTATTTTTTTTTTTTTTTTGAGACGGAGTTTCGCTCTTGTTACCCAGGCTGGAGTGCAATGGCGCGATCTTGGCTCACCGCAACCTCCGCCTCCTGGGTTCAGGCAATTCTCCTGTCTCAGCCTCCCGAGTAGCTGGGATTACAGGCACGCGCCACCATGCCCAGCTAATGTTTTGTATTTTTAGTAGAGACGGGGTTTCACCATGTTGACCAGGATGGTCTCGATCTCTCGACCTCGTGATCCACCCGCCTCGGCCTCCCAAAGTGCTGGGATTACAGGCTTGAGCCACCGAGAAATTTTTTTTTTTTTTTTTTTGAGACGGAGTTTCGCTCTTGTTACCCAGGCTGGAGTGCAATGGCGCGATCTCGGCTCACCGCAACCTCCGCCTCCTGGGTTCAGGCAATTCTCCTGCCTCAGCCTCCTGAGTAGCTGGGATTACAGGCACGCGCCACCACGCCCAGCTAGTTTTTTGTATTTTTAGTAGAGACGGGGTTTCACCATGTTGACCAGGATGGTCTCGATCTCTCGACCTCGTGATCCACCCGCCTCGGCCTCCCAAAGTGCTGGGATTACAGGCTTGAGCCACCGCGCCCGGCCGAGAAATTTATTTCTTAAAACTCAGTAATGAAAAGAGAAGTGGCCCAATGGGCAAGGAATCTCAGCAGACATTTTCTCAAAGAAGATATCCAACAGCACGCAAAGAGATGCTTGGATGTCGTGAGCCACCTGGAAACCGCAGATTAAAACCACCACTAGGCCTGCTTCCTACCCACGAGGAGGTCTAGGGGTCCACGAGACACAACACGCAGCGCTGCTGAGGCTGCGGAGAAGGACCCTCCTCCATGGCTGGCGGAACGCGAAACGCTGTGGCCACTCTGGTAAGCCACCCGGCAGCTAAGAGGCAAGCAGAGTTCCTGTGAACAGCGACTCCACTTCTAGCCACGTATCCAGCAGAAACGGAAGTACGTGTCCACACAGAACTTACACCTGAACGTTCATGGCAGCGCTACTCCTGACAGCTAAGAGGCAGAAACCACCAAATCCATGAATGAATGGATAAAGACGACGGGAAGTCTGCAGCCACAGCAAGGACGGGAGCACCAATACCTGTTCCAGCAAGGCTGGGTCATGAAAACACACCGCCCAGAGGGTGACACCAGACAGGGAAGGCCACACTGATTCCAGGGATCCCACGCGAGGGTGGCAGGCCCAACCCAGCCAAGCCAATATCCCCCCTTGGCGGGGCCCACAACTATCCCTACACGCTACTTCAGTTTTCTGCGTGCCTGGGCTTTTTGAGACGGAGTCTTGCTCTGTTGCCAGGCGGGATTACAGGGCTGAGCCACCGTGCCCAGCGTGCATGCCTGGGTTTTAGGCTCTCCAATTGAGATTGATTGATTGATGTTTGAGATGGAGTCTTGCTCTGTGGCCAGGCTGGAGTGCAGTGGCACAATCTCGCACCACTGCAACCTCTGACTCCCTGGTTCAAGCTTGCCTGTCTCCCAAGTAGCTGGGATTACAGGCACACATCATAATCCCCAGCTAATGTTTCACCATTTCTTTGGGAGGCTGAGGTGGGTGGGGTGGCTCATGCTTGCAATCCCAGCACTTTGGGAGGCCAAGGTGGGTGGGTCACTTGAGGCCAGAAGTCTTGAGACCAGCCTGGCTGACATGGTGAAACCCCGTCTCTACTAAAAACACAAAAATTAGCTGGATGTGGTGGTACGTGCCTATAATTCCAGCTACTCAGGAGGCTGAGCAGGAGAATCTCTTGAACCTGGGAAGTGGAGGTCGCAGTGAACTGAGATTTCACCACTGCACTCCAGCCTGGGTGACAGAGCAAGACACTTTCTCAAAAAAAAAAAAAAAAAAAAAAAAAAAAAAATTTTAGAAAGACTTTTGTTTCCGGCAGTATTTCTGATGATCAGAAGGTCCCAGTTGTTGATTCTGCATTTGTATCTCACCTGTGCACTGCCTTGTTCACATTTTCTGCTCGTTTTCCTGAGTCTACAATTTCCGTTCCTACAAGTCTCTTATGTTAAGGCATCAGCCCTGTTCTCCTAATGGTGCCTAACTTTTGAGAAACCAAAAGTTTGTGTTTGAGTCATTCAAAGTTGGGGGATGGAACCACCTGGAATGACCACCTGTTGATGATACAGGTGACTCAATGCGTGTGACATCTGTGCCAGGTAACATACCCTCAGCGGGGTCTCTGAAGCTCTCCTCTCTCAGCTCCAAGGCAGGCTGCCCCTGCTGATAGATGGGCACTGGCTCACTGTCCGGACGGCCTGCGGGAAGCGAGGTGCCAGCAGAGTTCGAGGCTCTCTCCTGGAGGAAAGCAGAGAGTCACCCTGCGCAGTGCAGTCAAGGTACCGGGGTGTGGCTCTGCCTCTCCTACGAGCCTGTGGAAGCAGACCTGTGGGCGAGGGCAGCGGGACATCCCACCCACCACCCAAGATCGCTGGGGCCTTCCACTGCTTGCTGCTCTTCCCCAGAAGCAGGCCAGGCGCACAGGCACCCATACAGGCACCCTTACCTTGCTCTCTGTTCTTGGGGTCTCAGCTGCCAACTGCACCACAGGTGTGTCCTCTGCTAAGGCTGAAAGCAGCTGCCTGGGGAGAGAGAGTTGGCAGAGGCCTGTCCCCCCACCACATAAACCCCGGTATCCCCTACACCTGCCTTCCCCTGCACTGCTGTGCCAGTCACGGGAACACTCAGCCAGAGTGCACCAGGCATGGGGCTGCCCCCGGCCACAAAGCTGCCTCACCACCCTTTTCCCAGCAGGAAGACACACACCTGCCAGCTCTAGGAGCAGGCAGGGAGCTCTAAAGTCAGCGCAATGCAGCCAAAGGGAGCCACAGGATGAGCACATCCCTTTTACTATGAAATTGACAGAGGCTTCGGGTGGGGAGGTCGGGGCAGGAAGACCCTGAACTGAGCAACTCTTCAGCCAGGAGGCAGCCGACCTGAGGCCAAGGCCCCAGTGAGCAGGGGACGCCACCCCAGGCGGGAACGGGCTCTGCCCGGCTGCTGGAATGACGCACCAAGTCAAGTTTATTGGAGGAGGGGCTGTGGCTGGGGGACTGGGTCCTGTCTGGGGTTCGTGCATTTGGCTTCTGGCCTGAGCCCGCCCTTATTGGATTCCCTCCTTAGGCCAGAAGCACTAAAGACTCACGGAGGCCAAGGCAAGACCGAGCACCCTCAGGGGGGCCCCTGGCAGCTGTGCCCCTCAGCTTAGATGCACCTCAGCCGTTTTTACCCAGAGGCCCCTCCTCAGGGGGAGCCTACCCAGGCTCAAAGGAGTCTCTGATGATGCCTCTGGCCTGAGGCTGGGGACCACACGCGGGGCAGGGCAGCTGCCCCTGCCATGCTCCCCACCCCATCCCACACTCACTGGCTCAGATGGGAGCCTGGCTCCTCTGTGGGACTCCATGGTTCAGCCACTGGCTGGCCCAGCCTGGTCTTGGGGCTTTCCGGGGGCTGGGCCTCTCTGCAACAGGACTTTATGCCACCTCCGAGCGGGGTGAAGTTTGGGCACTCCAGCCTGTCCCAGTCGAGGTGGAGAGAGCCCTGCGAAGCCAGCGCTGGGGGCTCCGCTCCTGCCCTGCTCCCACCACCCTCTTCTGACACCCGCGTGGCCTGCTGCTGCCTTGCTGCCGCTCTCCTCAAGGGAGGCTCCAGGCCGGACCTCTCTCCCCGTCTCTTTGGTGCGGGTGCCCTTTTGCTGGTGGCGCCATCGGAGAAGTCAAATTCAAGTTTTATGGGTCCAGCCCTCGAGGAGCTGGCCATCTGACCCGAAGCTGCTTCCTCCAGAGGACTCAGGGTCGGGGCTGTGCTCTCGGGAGCAGAGGTGTGTGCATAGGTGAGGGTCTGCGTGCCATCTGCTGGCATGGGGGTGCCCACACTCACGGGGCAGGCTGGGGCCTCGCCAGGCAGATCCCCTAGGGGCATTCCTCCGTGTGCTTCCTCAGGGATCACACCGGGAGGCCAAGTGGCTACTGCTGTGGGCGCAGAGACCCCGCCAGGACTGCATTCTTCCTCGGCTCTGTGCAGAGGCTCCGCTCTATGCTGGGACTCTGTCCTGGGAGGGTCTTCTAGGAGCTCAGAGGTGGGTGTCATTCTCTTGTCTAAGGAATAAGAACTAACATTTTCTTCCAAGGCTTGCTCAGAGCTGCCAGACAGTTTTCCTGGAGATGCCATTTGGTTTTCAGAACTTCCTGGGTTCTGGGGAGAGCTTGAGCAGTCCAGATCAGCCAGGGCGCCCAGGCCAGGTTCGCCGGAGCTGCCACCCCCAAAGGCTTGGCCTGCATCCCCCAGGGGGTTGGTGTCAGCCTCCACTGGTTTCTGGATAATTCCATGAGTAGTTTTGACATCCACTGCCTTGATGAGCTGTTGGCTTTTAAAAACAGAGTCAACATGAAGCAGTGAGTACGCGTGAGGTTAGGCGGCCTTGGCATCCAATCTGAACACAGGTTTAAGTCGCTCACACCGGAAGCAGGACTGAGTCACCCTCGGGACAGCTTCCAGTTCTCCACTTCCCACCCCAGTTCCTCAATGTGGTTCCCTCCTGCCCTCCCAGGGACCACTCCCTGTGGAATGGCTGGACACAGCCGCGTGACTTCCCCGCTGACCCCTGCCAGAGGGCTGGGTGGCTAGACACAGGGTTCCAAATTGCAGGGGTGCCTTTGGGCTGCCTGTCTGTTCAACCGTGCTCATCACACCCTGCCAGGTGCTGGACCCAGACTCCTCCAGCAGCCTCTGCCACCCAAACAGTGCTCCCGACCACACACACGGTCTGCACCAGGTGCCACAGCACAGATGCAGCACTGGGGCCGGACAGCTGCTGCCTGGGGGTCAGATGTGGGACACGGCACCCGACTGCCTCAAGCTGATGCCAGAGAGAGAAGCTTGGAGGCACCTTTCCCACCTGGTAAACTGCTCCCCAATTTCCTACCACTTCCTTCATTTTAAAACTTTTTTTTGGAACGGAGTGTCACTCTTGTTGCCCAGGTTGGAGTGCAGTGTCGTGATCTTGGCTCACTGCAACCTCCACCTCCAGGGTTCAAGCAATTCTCCTGCCTCAGCCTCCCAAGCAGCTGGGATTACAGGCGCCTGCCCCTACTACCAGCTAATTTTTTTGGTATTTTTACTAGAGATGGAGTTTCACCATGTTGGCCAGTCTGTTCTCAAACTCCTGACCTTAGGTGATCCGCCTGCCTCAGCCTCCCAAAGTGCTGGGATTACAGGCCGGAGCCACCGCGCCCAGCATCCACCACTTCCAGTAAAGACCCGCCGAGCATCTGACCACCAGTGTCCAGTGACCTCACCCTACTCCTCGACAGACAAGACTGCCCGCCACGCTCTCAGCTGTGGCCAGCACTCTGCGCATGGCCTCCGGCCTGCTGTCAGCCTGTGAAGTCATAGAATCATTATCTCCGCCTGTGTTTCCCGCCACGCTCTCAGCTGTGGCCAGCCCTCTGCGCATGGCCTCCAGCCTGCTGTCAGCCTGTGAAGTCATAGAATCGTTATCTCCGCCTGTGTTTCTCCCCATCACTGAAGAGTGTGCACCATCTTAAAAACCCTGAATTCTAACACGAAGGGACCCGAGAGCATTCCAGTAACACTTCAGTCCTCATGAAAACAGCTACAAGCAGAAATGAGCATGCTCAGTCAGCCCTGTCCTCTGGCTTACACCTCACCCAAGGACATGCCCAACCTGGAGGCCAGCAGGGGTGTGGTGAACAAAGGTTTTTCTGCACTAATCTGCTTTCCCCTTCGAGTCGGGGACTGGCAGTGCTGTGGCCAGGGACAGTTAAACCTCTGAAGGGCAAGGCTGAGGTGCAGGATGCCACCTTCAGGCACAGAAAGGCCTGAATGGCCTCTGCAATGCCTCCCTGGGATGTGGGCACGCTGGCCCAGCACCCGCCTGCTACAGGGGAGTGCCACAGGTGCAGAGAACTTCTTCCCAGGGACCACCATCCCTGCGGCACTCACTGCTTACCATGTGCGGCAGCTGCTGCGACAGCTGGGGCTGGACTACAACACAGAGGGCACAATGGCGTGGCACCTGCTCCCCAGCCTTCAGGTCCCTCAGAAGACGGAGAGTCATACACCACTGCATGTTACCCGCCCTTCTCTTCCAACTCTAAGTTTGATGACGTCAAAACTGAGAAACTGAGGGTGAGGGACCTACCAGACTGCTCACAACTGCTCTCCTGCCCAGCTGCTAGCTGGGTCACCGGACCCTCCAGGCCACTCAGCTGTCTCGGAATGATACGTGGTCAGTTGTGCCCAGCGGCTATTCCTGGTCTCATCCCACTAACGTGGGAGCGCCACAACCACGACCACCTGGGTCTCAGCAGTTTCAGAAAGGAGATGACAGCCATATGGCGGGACACCGAAGCCCCAGCCACAAGCCCAGAGTCACTCTAGCTGGAGCCCCTCAGGGCCGCCCTCCCAAGCCTCTCCTGGCTCCTCCACACCCTCTGCCCTGCACAGGCTGCTGGGTGGCCTGGAAGCCATAGGGCAGAGGCAAGGGCATCCTCCACCCTGGGATGGGTCAGATTCCTGGCAGCTGGGAGGCGACTTCCCTGCTGCTGGGTCTCCCTTCCTCCTTGGGGTCATTGTAAATCAGTGTAGGATTCATTCTCACCTCGTTTGACCAAATTTCAAAAGGGCAGAAAACAAAGTTGAAAAGTATCTGGCAGGCATGGAAAAAAACTGCAGATTCAGGCTGGAAAGGAGACAGACCCAGAGCCCAGAAAAGGATGCAGGAAAGGCTGCCTGCAACTATTGGTGATGTTTTACGTCACTTAGGTGGTGACAAGCATTAGCGGTATTCTGTTCCTTATACTTTTCTCTGCACATCTAAAATCTGTTTATATATATATATATATATATATGTGTATATTTTTAAAGGCCAGTCACATGAAGCAGTGGGAGTGGAGAAGGAACAAAGAAATCTGTAACTGGTTGTGATCAACTCGTAAACACCACTGCACTCGGACCAGCCCTAAAATCTGTTTTAAAGTTTTGGGCCAGCTGGGCGTGGTGGCTCATGCCTGTAATCCCAGCACTTTGGAAGGCTGAGGTGGGCAGGTCACCTGAGGTCAGGAGTTTGAGACCAGCCTGACCAACATAGAGAAACCCCGTCTCTACTAAAAATACAAAAAATTAGCCGAGCGTGGTGGCACATACTTGTAATCCCAGCTACTTGGGAGGCTGAGGCAGGGGAATGGCTTGAACCTGGGAGGCGGAGGTTGCAGTGAGCTAAGATTGCACCATTGCACTCCAGCCTGGGCGAAAGAGTGAAACTCCGTCTTAAAAAATGGAAAATTGGCCGGGCGCGGTGGCTCACCCCTGTAATCCCAGCACTTTGGGAGGCCGAGGCGGGTGGATCACGAGGTCAAGAGATCGAGACCACCCTGGTCAATATGGTGAAACCCCGTCTCTACTAAAAATACAAAAAATTAGCTGGGCATGGTGGCGCATGCCTGTAATCCCAGCTACTCAGGAGGCTGAGGCAGGAGAATTGCCTGAACCCAGGAGGTGGAGGTTGCGGTGAGCCGAGATCGAGCCATTGCACTCCAGCCTGGGTAACAAGAGCGAAACTCCGTCTCAAAAAAAAAAAAAATGGAAAATTGCCGGGCACGCTGGCTCAAGCCTGTGATCCCAGCACTTTGGGAGGCTGAGGCGGGTGGATCACAAGGTGAAGAGATCGAGACCATCCTGGTCAACATGGTGAAACCCTGTCTCTACTAAAAATACAAAAAATTGGCTGGGCGTGGTGGTGCGTGTCTGTGATCCCAGCTACTCAGGAGTCTGAGGCAGGAGAATTGCCTGAACCCAGGAGGCGGAGGTTGCGGTGAGCCGAGATCGCGCCATTGCACTCTAGCCTGGGTAGCAAGAGCAAAACTCCGCCAAAAAAAAAAAAAAAAGGAAAATTCAAATTAAAACTTGGCCGGGTATGGTGGCTCAGAACTGTAGTGCCAGATACTTAGGAGGCCAAGCAGGGAGGACTGCTTGGGCCCAGGAGGCTGAGACTAGAGTGAGCTGAGACGGTGCCACGGCACTCCAGCCTGGGGGACAGAGCAAGACCCCATTGCAAAACAGCAGCAACAGTTTTAAATGCTTACAGCAGCAAAAAAACCCAGCAGACATGCCTCTGGGGTCCCTTCCCAGCCTCGATGCAGATGAGGTATTCCTGGTTGCCCAGACAGATGAGTTCAGCCACAGGGTCAAGAGCTGCCTCCAGGCTCCTCCCTTTCCAGGCACACACAGAAGCTGCACACACACTTATCTGCTTGCAGATAAGATCACAACCGGTTACAGATCACAAACACAGAGTGGTTTCTTTGCCCACAAGTGTATCTGCTTTTTCCAAGGCCTAAGGTGCATGGAATTCAAGAGAAATTAAACTATGGAATGCCCTTCCTGGAGATGGAGTCAAGACGTTTCATCAAATTACACAGGCAAAGATCGAGGCCAATCAGTTGGCAGAGGGACAGCAAAAATGTAAAGTACGGGCCGGGCGGGGCGGCTCACACTTGTAATCCCAGCACTCTGGGAGGCCGAGGCAGGTGGATCACCTGAGGTCAGGATTCAAGACCAGCCTGGCCAACATGGTGAAACCCCATCTCTACTAAAAATACAAAACTTAGCTGGAGGGCCGGGTGCGGTGGCTCAAGCCTGTAATCCCAGCACTTTGGGAGGCCGAGGCGGGTGGATCACGAGGTCAAGAGACGGAGACCATCCTGGTCAACATGGTGAAACCCCATCTCTACTAAAAATACAAAACGTTAGCCGGGCATGGTGGCACGTGCCTGTAATCCCAGCTACTCAGGAGGCTGAGGCAGGAGAATTGCCTGAACCCAGGAGGCGGAGGTTGAGGTGAGCCGAGATTGCTCCATCGCACTCCAGCCTGGGTAACAAGAGCGAAACTCCGTCTCAAAAAAAAAAAAAAAAAAAAAAAAAAACCTTAGCTGGGCATGGTTGTGTGCACCTATAGTCCCAATTACTCAGGCTGAGGCAGAAGAATCTCTTGAACCCAGGAGGTAGAGGTTACAGTGAGCCGAGATTGTGCCACTGCACTCCAGCAGCCTCGGCAACAAAGTGAGACCGTCTCCCCCGCTTCCCCCGAAAAAAACACAGAACAACAACAAAAGAAAACACACACAAAAAAACATACAAATTAGCCGGGCATTGTGGGTGCCTGTGATCTCAGCTACTGGGGAGGTTGGGGAAGGAGAATCACTTGAACCCAGGAGATGGAGGTTGCAGTAAGCAGAGATCACACCACCGCAGTCCAGTCTGGGTGACAAGAGCAAAACTCCGTCTCAAAGAAAGAAAAGAAAAGGGAAGTTAAAACTTATTCCAGGCCGGGCGCGGTGGCTCAAGCCTGTCATCCCAGCACTTTGGGAGGCCGAGGCGGGTGGATCACGAGGTCAAGAGATCGAGACCATCCTGGTCAACATGGTGAAACCCCGTCTCTACTAAAAATACAAAAAATCAGCTGGGCATGGTGGTGCGTGCCTGTAATCCCAGCTACTCAGGAGGCTGAGGCAGGAGAATTGCCTGAGCCCAGGAGGCGGAGGTTGCGGTGAGCCGAGATCGCGCCATTGCACTCCAGCCTGGGTAACAAGAGCGAAACTCCGTCTCAAAAAACAAAAAACAAAAAACAAAAAAAACTTATTCCAAGTATTTGATGATCGACTTTTCTGTTAGTGAACTGGCCACATGCTGCACACACACTGCAGATTTCAGAAGAAATCCAGCCAAGACTGGACAACGGGACAGAGCGTGCCTGCAAGAGCCGCTGGACAGAGCGGTGAACTGCACTACGCCCAGAAGTGCCAACACTTACTTCTCCTCCTGTGTCCATCCTAGGTGAGAGTTTTCCAGTCCCAGGGTGTCACCCTGAGCCAAAGGAGCCTCGAGTTTGCTGGCCATGCTAGGACTTAGAATCCTGTGCGTCTGTGGATCCCGCAGAGGCGTCTGAAAAGTCACCTATGGGGAGTAAGGGGGAGGGCACCCGTTCATTAGTTTAGCTGTCACAGCCACACTGGCAGTGTCCGGCAGCTCAGAGGTCAACAGGAAAGCAGGCCCTAGGGCGACCTGGCCAGCCACACATGGCAGAGGTCGCACTTACCTTCATAGCTTTGGCCAGGTTCTTGGGTGGCACATTTTCTTTCTGTGACTCACAAAGAACAGACAATCTTCCGGTAACTTCCAGTGGTGAAAACAGGAAGTCGCAGTTTTCTGTACTTTTTTCACTGCTGACATTTTTGTTGTTTAAGACTTGCAGACTCATTCTGGAAAAGCAGAACATGTTCATGTCAGTGTGAGAACAACACTACCACGTTCTCCGGACAGACACCCCATATGCCCTGCAGTGCCGTGGGGGCACAAGCCCTTCCTTCGCAGGCATGCTCATCACTCTGGAGGTGATACCTCCCCCAGGTGTCCTGTGCAAAGTGAGGCTGAGAAAGCCTCAGACTGAGACTCACTCTCCAGCCTGGCAGGGAAAGTCCTGGGCAGCACTGCTGCCTTCTGGGACCGAGAGCTAAGGGGCCTTCGGGCTGAGACGGTAAGAAAGAAAAACCAAGCTTGCAGAACCCCCACTGCCATATTACTTTGTCAGGCAGAGGTCAGGAGACAGGAAAGTCCTGGCCTATAAGAAACCCAGAAGATCCAGAAGCCGTGTTCTCCCCACAGGCCTCTGCATGCGGCGTGAGGCACCACCAGGCAGCAGAGGGCAGGACAGCAGGACCAGACCAGGCTGAGAGGGTGAAGGCCCAGAGGAGCTGGGAGAGGTGTGTGGACAAGAGAAGTCCAGAGCTGAGCAGCAGGTACCAAGGAGCACCTACGTCAGGCCTCTGGTCAGGCCCAGCTTCCAGGGCCTCATGCCGGGCACCTACACACCTGCAACCCTTTCTGCCTACAGCGTTCCCAGTCTAGGAGAAAACGTAGGCAGAAAGGCTTCCAGAGAGAACCGAGTGTCGACCTGGGCAGGGACCCCACGGGCACCTGGTGATGATGGACACCTGGGAGGCTGTGATTTGAAAAGCAAAGCTGGGGAGGGTCCGGGAGAAGGAGGGGCCGCCGGGGCAGGTCGGTGCTGTGGCTTGAGAAGCCCACTGTGGTGCTCTGTGTGGGTGGGGAGGGAAGCGAGGAAACCACGGGCTTCTGCAGCCCGAGGAGGAGAGGCCTGACCAGACCCGAGCCTGGCCACTGGCACAAATGAAACTTCCAGACGACGCTTAGGTTTTTGGCCCGAACCACTGGGTACAGGGCAGGGGAAGGGGTGCTGGATCGCTGGGGGACCCGCAAGCCTGGAACTCGGGGAGAAAGTGACTCGGAGGAGGCCTTTCGACGGCCTGGAGGCGCGCGGGAGAGCGGCAGGCCCAGCCTTGGTCTGGCGGGGCTTTTACTGACTGCGGAGCCGCGGGGGGGCTCTGGGCAGACGGGGGACCGGCCCCAGGCTGCTGCTTTCACTCTACTCCGGAGCACGGAGGGCTGCGGCTGCGGGGAAGCGGTCGGGGCCCAGGTGTCGACCGCAGGTGGCCCCGCTGGAGTCGGCCCCAGGACGGAGGCCGGAAGGGACCAAAGACAGCGAGGGGCTCCGCGAGCTGGGAGCCAACAAAGAGCCAGAGTGCGCGGCCCAGAGGCAGGAGAAGGTCGAGGAGAACAAAGGGGCTCGGGGCGCTCGCTCCGCCCGGCCACCGTCCAGGGGCCCAGCCCGACAGGGCGCGGGACGGGCTCCGGCGGCGGCCCCGGGAGGAGCCGAGGGGGACGCTTCCCGGGGAAAGCCGCGGCGAGGGCGGGAGTGCGGGAGGGCGAGGGCCGCGGGCGGGGCGGGACAGCCTCGCGGCCCCCCGCCCCGGAACCCCAGCTTCCCAGCGCCGCACGGCCGCTCGTCTACCTGCCCGCCTGCCCGTTGCCGGGCTCTGAACCGCGCCGCCGCCGCCGCCAGGAAGGAGAGGTCCGCGCCTGCTCCGCGCGAGGGACCCAGTGTGGCTGCCGCCGCCGCCGTCGCCGCTGCCGCAGCCCTTGATGGCCGCCAGCGCGCCCGAGTTTCAAACGCGACGGTTGCCTCTACGCAGCCAATCGGCACGCAGCCGGGGGCGGGACCGCAGCAGCGCGGACGCCCAATAGGAGCCGTGTCTCGCCGGCCCCGCCCCCTCGTGCGCCGACGGTTTCGTTTCCGGAGCGGAGGGCAAGTTAGGAGCGTCTGAAGCTGGGACCGCTGCTCGCAGTCGCCCGCTGAACCTCGGGCTCTGCAGCGTATGCTGCTGGGCGGGGCGTCATGGCCAGGGCCTGAGAGCCGCTCGCTCAGGCCTAAGTTTCCTCAGCTGTGCATTGGGACCAGATGCGGCGCCGCCTCCAGGGTCGGCCCTGAAGAGAGGCCGCACCCTCACGGGGACTGCATCTCCCAGAGTGCCCTGCGGACGGCCGGACGCCATCTCCCAGAGCGCCCCGCGGGCGGGCGGCGGCGGGACTCCATCTCCCGCAGTGCCTCTCGGGCGGCCGGGCGGCGGCTGCCGCAGCCGGGCCTGGGCGCAGTGGCGTCTTCCCCGCGTCGGGGCGGCGGCCTCGCCGGACAGCTTCCCGGCGGCGGCGCGATGTACAGCCCCGAGGTGACCTTCACTCTCGCCTATCTGGTCTTCGCCGTGTGCTTTGTGTTCACGCCCAACGAGTTCCACGCGGCGGGGCTCACGGTGCAGAACCTGCTGTCGGGCTGGCTGGGCAGCGAGGACGCCGCCTTCGTGCCCTTCCACCTGCGCCGCACGGCCGCCACGCTGCTGTGCCACTCGCTGCTGCCGCTCGGTGAGGCTGCCCGCGCCGGCCAGCCGCGTCCTCTCCCGCGCGGGGCTTGCTGGGAGGCCAGGAGGCGGCCTCCGGCGGCTCCCCGAGGCCCCGAAAGCGCCTGGGCGCAGCTGGGGAGAGGCGCCGGTACCCCAGTCCAGAGGGACCGCGGCGTCGGCTGAGCGCGCTCGGGGGCGCCGCTGGCGCTGGCTTGCAGGTGACGGGAGTCCAAATTCAGAACCTTGGGCAGGTGATGCTCCGGTCCACCTGGACTGCCACACGCCTGGGGGTCACAAGATGGAGCAGCCTTTGCTTATCGTGGTTGGGGGCAGCGGTCAGGAGAAGGAAACTTGATTGATTCCAACAGAAGGGGTCGGAGAGGCTGTGTTGAGGGTGGCACTGCTTTAGGCCTTGGAAAGTGGGTGTTGGGAGAACAGGCAAATTTGGAGGCAGTTCCAGTTTGGGGGCACCCCAGGGGCAGAGGCTAGGGAGGGCCTCTGTGTGCAGGTGGGACGCTCGGAGTTGTTTGGGGCAGCGCTGGGCTGGACCCAGGTGCACCTGACTGACGGAGTCCCGACAGCTGCTAGCTTGGCCTCTAGAAGGTCCCTCTCTCAGCAGGTTGGATGATGGAAAGGTGAGAGCTCGGGGGAGCAGTGGCTGGAGGGGGATTCCAAGGAGGACACGGGCAGACGCAGCTCTGGGAGGACCGGTGGCCAGTGGCCGGCCAGGTCTGCTGCTCTGCGGACACAAGACGGGTAACCGTTCATCCTGGTATGAGGATGCAGCCGCCATGACCCAGGAGAGCTGGAGGCAGGTGTGGGGTGGAGGCGCCCAGGCCTGCCTCATGGAGAGGATGGTCTGGGGGCCCACCTGAGAGATGGATGGGGCCGAGTGGGGCTGGGGCCCTGACCAAGCCATTCAAGGGTACTGGGTGCTTTTCTGTAGCCCTTCCAGCTGTACCCTCCCCAGAGGCCTTTGAGGGGCTGGGCGCCCCACTTCACCTACGAGGGACCAAAAGTGACTCATGGTGGCCCCACCTGCAGCAGACAGCCCAACTGGCCTCATAGCTGGATATCAAGCTCCTTTCATTTTTAACTTAGTTGGAAAGTTTTCAAGCCTTGTTAGGCATTAGTTACCTATCGTTATGTATCACATTACCTTGAAACACTGCGACTGGGCCTACTCCAGATGTGGATATTGTGATTTGCCAACGGGAGCCTGCTGCAGCTCCTCACCAGCTCCAGCGCTCATTGGGACCTTCACATTGTCCCCGTCCAGCTAGCAGGGCCCTGAAGCAGGCTCCGTGTCCTCTGGACGTGCCCCTCATTCCTTCTCGCACACAGCTTCTCAGTCTGGGATGGGCCATGTTTCTCAGCAGGTCCTGGCAGGCCAGGGGTCAGGTCTGCGTGAGGGCAACTGATTGTTGTCTTTATTTCTCCGAAAGGCTTTTGTAGTTCTTCAGTGCTTAAATATGATGTGAACCTAAAGCAGCAAATTAGAAACCTTTCCGCCTAACATACCCTGACGTTGCCATAGGCAGGGACAGAGCGGGCCAGCTGTGGGTAAAGCACACTCACCCGGGGAGCTGACCAGGCCCTGGAACCCGGGCAGAGGGTCAGGCCCAGGGCTGGGGACGAGAGAGGGATGCACGGTGGCCCTCAGATGGGTTCGCTGTGGGGGTGTGGACAGTGGCCTGGCCCTCCACTTGCCCCTGAGGCTCGCCCCGTCCTTTGCAGGCTATTACGTGGGCATGGGCCTCGCAGCTTCAGAAAAGCAGCTCCACTCCCCCAGCCAGGCCCCTGAGGCCTGGCGGCTCTTCCTGCTGCTGGCTGTGACCCTCCCCTCCGTCACCTGCATCCTCATCTACTACTGGTCCCGTGACCGGTGGACCTGCCACCCACTGGCACGCACCCTGGCGCTCTACGCCCTCCCACAATCGGGCTGGCAGGCTGTCGCCTCCTCCGTCAACACCGAGTTCCGGCGGATTGACAAGTTTGCCACCGGCGCACCGGGTGCCCGTGTGATTGTGACAGACACGTGGGTGATGAAGGTGACCACCTACCGAGTGCATGTGGCGCAGCAGCAGGACGTGCACCTGACTGTGACGGAGTCCCGACAGCACGAGCTTTCGCCAGACTCCAACCTGCCCGTGCAGCTCCTCACCATCCGAGTGGCCAGTGCCAACCCTGCAGTACAGGCCTTTGACATCCGGTAAGTGTGGTGCCGGAGCGGCTGTGGGGTGCAGAGGGGACACGTCAGGCCAGCACCACGACCCCTGGGAGGTGCTGGCCTCGCGGCTGTGGACTCGGCACTCCTGGGCCTGCGTGACACCAGTCACTGAGCCCTCCCACCTGGCCCTCCCTCAGGCCCCCTTGCACTCTTGGTCTTCCCTTCCACTCTCCCCAGAGCCACCTCCCTCAGATTCTCGGGGAGCACTCGGGACAGTGCAGCCCGCAGACTGGACAGCTGCTTTGCTCCCTGGTCTGCTCCCTGCCCAGGCTGGGCCATCTGGCACTGGGTCCCTGGGCTCTGGCCTTGGGGCCGTCTCTCCCGGATGGTCCTGGTGCAACAGCTGCCTTGTCATTCCTTGGGGGGCGGCCTCCATCTCCCTTCCGCCTTTGCCCTGCGGAGGGCCCAGCAGCTCTCCTCCCTGCAGGCTAAACTCCACTGAGTACGGGGAGCTGTGTGAGAAGCTCCGGGCACCCATCCGCAGTGCAGCCCATGTGGTCATCCACCAGAGCCTAGGTGACCTGTTCCTGGAGACATTTGCCTCCCTGGTAGAGGTCAACCCCACCTACTCAATGCCCAGCAGCCAGGTAGGGGCCAGGGCCGGGCAGATGGGTGGGTGCCCATGGGCATCTGCTTGGGCTCCTGTGATGCTCCGCCTGCCCGCAGGAGCTGGAGGCCTGCATAGGCTGTATGCAGACTCGTGCCAGCGTGAAGCTGGTGAAGACCTGCCAGGAGGCAGCGGTGGGCGAGTGCCAGCAGTGCTACTGCCGCCCCATGTGGTGCCTCACGTGCATGGGCAGGTGGTTTGCCAGTCGCCAGGACCCCCTGCGCCCCGACACCTGGCTAGCCAGCCGCGTGCCCTGCCCCACCTGCCGCGCACGCTTCTGTATCCTGGATGTGTGCACCATACGCTGAGCGGGCTGGGCCTTGAGGAGCCTGGTGACTCTGTTCCCCCGGCCACAGGGTGGGGAGGGGGTGGCTGGGCCTCCGAGCTGGCAAAGGGTACTACCTAAAGCACTTGATCTGTAGCAACTCGCCTCTGCGCTGGTCTGCAGAAGGCTGAGGACTTCTGGTTAAAAGCAGTCCTGATGAACACCCCCCACCCTGCTTGGCAGCCAGGAGACAAGTCCTTGGCACCTCCTCTTTGCCTCCCTCCCATCCCTTCCTGCAGGTAGGGCCAGATACTGCACACACACAGCACAGCATTGGTCGCCGAGGCCATTCCCTGGAGACCCCGGGTCTGCTCCAGTGGTCCTCACCTGGGCCACTTGCCTTAATTCTCTGGAGCAAACCCGCCCTCATTTATGTGCCAGGCCCAGATCAGCCTTCTCCCGCCCTATCCTGGAGCTGCTCCTGGCTGCCTGGAGAGCTCTGGGTATGTCCCGACGGTGGGGTAGAGAACAGGGCATGGCTCTGGTGTGGGAGCAGTCCTGGGGCTTCCTGGTGGCTTTGGCATTGGGGGGCAATTCCTGGGTGGCATGGCGGGCCAGGCCAGAGTGCCCTCATTGGGGGAGCTGTCCCCCCAGGGGTTCTCACCCTGTCCTTGGTGCCTCCTGCTGCCCCCAGAAGTCCAGGGAAGGTGGAGGCCTCAGAGTCCTGGGTAGGGGTGGGGGTTTGAACTGAGGACCATAGTGTCACAGTGACATCCAGAACACAAGCCCACAAAGCATCCTGCACAGGCTGCCCACTCCCCTAGGACCTGCCGGGCTCAGAAGGGTATGCATGCCTGCTGTGGTTGAGGCTCTGGTGAGCGTCTTGCCTGGTTCCTGATGGTTCAAGGGGAGGGGGAGGCGTTGTCCAGGACCCAGGGCACAGCCCTGACAGGTGTGGCTACTGGAGTGGCTCTCACACCTGCAGCCCTGGGCATGGCTGATTCCAGCCGAGGTGATGGACTCAGGTGGCCTGACCCCCTGGATTTGGGAGGCTTCCTGAGGCAGCAGGGGCCATGGCCAGGAGCCGGGCCATGGCCAGGAGCCGGACCTAGCCGTGGTCCTGAGTTTTAAGGGCTGCCAAAGAGGGTCAGTGGGTTGGGGTGGTTTTTACTACAAAAGAAGTGAGTTTTATAAAGACAAACCTATTGTAGCCAAATGACAGTGTATTTAATAAAATTTGGTCTGAAGTGATACACTGTGTTATGTGTGGCCTGATACTAAAACCATGCTTTTGTGATAGTTAAGAGAGTGGCCTGGGGTGTTGGAGAAGCCAACTTAAAGGTGGAATTGTGCGCGCGCCCTGCTTTGTTCAGAATAAAGAGGAAAAAGCCCATTGGTTGGGAGGCAGGTGCAGCAGGAACTTCCCCTTTGATTCCTAGTTGGGGACTCTGGGGTCTCGGGAACCCCCACCCAGGGTCATGTGCAGAAGCAGGGCGGAAGGGGCACTGACCGATTGATCCCTCCAGGTCCAAGGTCTCTTGCAAGGACACATCCTGGGGGGACATCACTGTGTGGCTGCTGCTGTGGCCACTTCCAGATTCAGGATGTGATGTGGGGACGCGTGGGTAGCCGAGGAGTGAACAGCACTTTGGGTTCACTTTGCTTGCAGCTGCGTCTGTAGGGACACCAGGCTGTGTCTGACCTCACTGTGTATCAGGTGGCCCAGGAATTGCCAGCCAAGCTCCCGGGGTTCCCGACAGCACTGGGCCGGCAGGGGAGCACCCCAGCAACTGGAATGGTGAATGCTGGCCGCTGCTTCCCACTCTGCTTCTCGACCCACAGGACGCTTTTTGGGGAAGTAGTATGCCCAATCCTGCTCAAAGATATGATGAGTGGACTTGGGCTCTCTGTGCTGAGTGGCTTCCGACTCTTTCCAGTGTGGCGCTTTCACTGGCATTCTGTTGCTATTTTTTTTGAGAGAAGAGTTGCCCTGTCGCCGAGGCTTCAGTGCAATGGCCTGATCTCAGCTCAGTGCAACCTCTGCCTACCGGGTTCAGGCGATTCTTTGCCTTAGCCTCCTGAGTAGCTGGGATTACAGGTGTGCACCACCACACCCGGCTAATTCTTGTATTTTCAATAGAGACAGGGTTTCACCGCATTAGCCAGGCTATCAGGTACTGCTCAAGGCTGGTGCGTTTGAGGCTAACCTGACCAACAATGGAGAAACTCCATTTCTACTAAAAATACAAAACATTAACCTGGTATGGTGGCGCATGGCTGTAATCCCAGCTACTTGGGAGGCTGAGGTAGGAGAATCACTTGAACTAGGAGGCGGAGATTGCAGTGAGCCGAGTTCGTGCCACTGCACTCCAGCCTGGGCAACAGGGCTAGACTCTGTCTTAAAAAGAAAAAAAAAAAAAACGGAGTGGCAGAATACAGTTTAAGTGTAGGGCGTGTGACTTAACTCTTGCCCAGCATGAGCTTAGGTGCTATTCATAATTTGGTATCTTACTGCCGCTGGTGTCCCCTTGGCCACAGTGGGGTCCATTCAGTTGTTGGGGGCTTAGGATTTTTAGTTGAGTGTTGAGGGTTATGGGATGCCGGGGGAGGCAGGGGACAGGGTGTTCTGTCCTAGCCTGAGGACGAACTTTCGAGTTCAAAAGGAAGGGGGCGGTGGGCGCACCAAAGGCACAGTTCTGAGGGCAGCAGGTGGAAGAGCTGCGCCCTGCCAGAGGTGTCGGGCCTTGGAGGGATCCCAAGCATCCCTGCGGCTCAGCCTCCTGGACCTGCCCCCGCCGCCCTCTTTTGGCTGGTTCCACTTTGCGCTGCATCCCTCGCGTTTGCCCCAGCAGGAATCTGTGGGAACCTGTTCCCAGGTGTGTGTGAATCCCTGTTGGGGTTCTCTCTGGCCAGATCCGCGAGGCCGTCGGCTGCAACCGTGACGGCGGGGAGGCGGGACGCGACGGTGCGGATCAGCAGGGCCTCGCCCCCCGTGGCGCCTCCTTGCTGAGCCAGGGATTCTTCAGGATGCGTCCGGCGCGGTCAACTCCAGGCAGAGAAGGGGAGCGCCAGGCGGGCAGGGAGGCGGCGGCCACAGAGCCTAGCGTGCGGCCAACGACCGGGGCAGCGGTACCGGGAAGACTCAGCCACCTATCGCTGCCTAAAAGGTTACTCCAAAACTTTAAGCGGCTCAAAACAATACTCCGCGCGCACGGGGCCCGCAGCGGCCACGGGACCCCAGGGAGCAGCCAGTACCGGCCACAGGCCGCGCCTTCCGGGTTCCGTGTTCACGGTTCCCGCCAGCGCGGAGACACGCCCCCACCTGTGTATGGACCAATCGGAGACGCGCTCCACCCAGGCCGGGACCAATGGGAGATGGGCCACGACCCAGGCCGAGAAACGCGCCGCGTGCCCTTCCCCGCGACCTGCGCCGCGTAGCGCCCGGCGGAATCTCCCGCCAAAGCTGCCCCGCCCGCCAAGGCCCGACCTATCTGCGTCGCAGGGGCCCGCGGCGGGCCGGCCGCCTCAATGCCAGGGGTGGGGGGGCAACCTTTTCCTCAGGGCTCTCATTCTGCGGCGCCCATCCGCCTCCCGAGCCGAGCGCCGGGCAGTCGGGCCTCGCGGCGGCCCTCGATCCTAAGGCCTCGGCCCAGCTCCAGTCGGGCCGCGAGGCGCGCGCAGCCGAGTGGACCCCTGCGGCGCGGCCCGATGGTCTCGCCCGACCCGGCGCGCGCGGGAGGCCGAGGGGCGGGGCCGGGCCTGGCGCCCACATAAAGGCGGTTGGGGGCGGGGCGCGGAGAGCCCGTGAGCGCCGGCGCGGGCGCAGCGTTCGCCGTGTCTGCCCCGGGCCCGTCCTACCTGCGCGCCCGGCCCGCGCCGCCATGGCCTGCCGCCCGCGTAGCCCGCCCAGGTACCAGAGCCGCTGCGACGGCGACGCCAGGTGAGGCCGGGGCTGCGAGGGGGGCGAGGGAGCGCGCGCCCCGCGGGGTGGGCGGCGTGCGGCGGGCCTGGACCTCCCGGGCCGCGCCGACCGCCTCCCTCCCCGCAGCCCGCCGTCCCACGCGCGGTGGAGCCTCGGACGGAAGCGCAGAGCCGACAGCCGGCGCTGGAGGCCCGAGGACGCCGAGGAGGCCGAGCGCTGCGGCGCCGAGCGCAGACCCGAGAGGTGGGCGCGGGGCCCGGGGGTCGGGGCGCGGTGGGGCCCTTGACGAGGCCGCGGGCTCCGGGGGCCGCGTCGCGCTCTCGCGAGGCGGGGCTTGGTCAGGTCGGCGCCGCGCGTCCGTTTCCCTTTGTTTCCGCGCGGCCCGGCGTGGGGGGCGGCGGAACCGGCGGCGGCCCACCTGCGTGGCGCCCCGGGGGAGGTCGGCGCCTCCGACGAGCCTCTCGGGAGCACGTGGCGGTCGGGACCCCGGGGTGCCGAGGGGGAGCGAGCCGGCAGGCGGACCCGCCCGCGCGTCTTCCGGGCGGGCCGGGGTGCGGGCGGCGGGAGGGCTCGGGGCTCGTGCTGGCGGCTGGATTCGGGGGGACCGGCGGTCGCAGCGCCGGGCTTTTCGGGGCTGCGGCTGGAGGAAGTTTCTCCGGGGGCTTGGTGTGCGGACGGGGCGGAAGGGAGGCGACCCGCCCGCCGAGGCCCCACCCTCGTGTGCGGACGCGGGGGGCCCGTCCCGTCCCGCGTCGGGGCTCGCGGCTGCCGTTCCCTGAAAGGGCGCGGTGACCGGTGCTGGGGACTGCGTGGTTCGGGGTGGACTTGGGAAGGCGGGGCCCGGGAAGCCTGCCGAAGCGTTGGGGATGGGAGGCCGAAAGGAAGGTGAAAACCGGGACCCAAATGCGCTGTGCCAACAGGAAGAGCGAAGCTGAAAGGCGAGTCATGCAAGAAGCTGCCTTTGCTTTTCTTCTCGTTCCTAAGCAGTTAGCTACAGATGAAACGTTAAGTATCTCGGGTGAAGTCTCCACCTTCAGTGCCGGTTTACGGAAATACGTAATTGACTATTCCCCGAGCTGCTGCTTTTCTCTTGGAACACGTGATTACTGTGCTCGCCTCCTTTCTCCTTCAACCTACTTTTATTTTTATTTTCTTTTTGAGATGGACTCTTGCTCTGTCCCGCAGACCGGAGTGCAATGGTGAGGTCTTGGCTTACTGCAACCTCCGCCTCCCGGATTCAAGTAATTCTTCTGCCTCGGCTTCCCGAGTAGCTGGGATTACAGGTGTGCGCCACCAGCCCTGGCTGATTTTTGTATTTTTAGTAGAGACGGCGTTTAACCGTGTTGGCCAGGCTGGTCTCAAACTTCTGACCTTGTGATCTGCCTGCCTCGGCCTCCCAGAGTGCTGGGATTACAGGCGTGGGCCACTGTGCCCGGCCTACTTTTGTCTTCTAAATATTGAAGTCCTCACTGTCCTCTGGAGAAAAGCAAAGACTATAAACTGTTTCTGTGATTTTGTGTTCTTCTAGACACATCCTTAACATTATTAAAATGAGACTTGCCTCAGGCACTTTTTGGTTCACAAAGGAAAGAGGCAATCAAGAATAACTGAAGCCTGTAGGTCTGAACACTGTTGATTGTGGGACCATTTGCCAAGATAGAGATGGGCTGGAGCCTCCAGACCTGGGAAGTAGGGAGGTGTGAGAAGGTGCTTAGAGAAGCAAAGGGAGCTATCAGGAAGGTTAATAAGCGTAGGAGTCCACATGGGGAGGCATCGTCAGGCACAGTGGCTTACCAGCATGTGTAGATGATCTTTAAAGACTCTAGGGCTGGGTACAGAAGAGGTCCAAGGGCCATATGTGAAGAGAAGGTAGTCAGACCTTACTGAGGTGGAGCTCTGAACTCTCTAGTGCTCTCAGCTGAAGATAAAAAGGTTAAATCCTGGTCGGCCGCGGTGGCTCACGCCTGTAATCCCAGCACTTTGGGAGGCCAAGATGGCGGCAACATGAGGTCGGGAATTCAAGACCAGCCTGGCCAACATGGTGAATCCCCATTTCTGCTAAAAAAATAAAAATAAAAAAATTAGCCGAATGTGGTGGCAGGCACCTGTAATCCCAGCTACTCTAGAGGCTGATGCAGAGAATTCTATGAACCAGGGAGGCAGAGGTTGCAGTGAGCTGAGAACATGCCACTGCACTCCAGCCTCGGCGACAGAGCGAGACTTTTTCTCAAAAAAAAAAAAAAAAAAAAGAAAAGTTAACTCCTTACAATGCTCTAGAGTTACGGAAGTTCTTGGTATCCTCATTCCTCCAGCGGTAGGAATGCTTCTG